GATACTGCCCCGTTTGTTAGGAAATGGAAAGACTTGGAAAAAATTATATTAAGTGAAGTAAGCCAGGCCCAAAGAAACATAGGTCCCATGGTTTACCTTATTTGCAATAACTAGTATATGTCTAGGATAACCTTACCAAACAAGTAGAAAAGGTCAAAAGCTACGCACATATGACCATAGAAGATGGTGCTAAGAGAAATGAACTCCAAGATAGAGACACAAGAGGTTTTATCTTTGTTGCTGTTGTTTTTAATGTACTTATAAAGTACTATGTTATTTCTTTTGTTTCTTTCATATGTTCTTCCCTATTGGTATAACCCCTGTCATTGTATTTGATTCCGGTACCCTGCATCTTGTATATACATTTTTCTAATTTGGGGAGGGGAAGGGAAATAACAAAACGCTGAAACAAGGCTGACCCATTATAATAATGAGATGTACAAGACACTATGTTAAAAATGAACTCTACAACTTTGGTGGGGAAGGGAGGAGCTGGGGAGGTGGGGAGAGAAGGGATTGTGGGAGAAAAACAAAGGAGGGGGTAACAATGCTCAAGAGGAAATGTACTTATTACCTTACTCATGTAACTAGCCACTCTGTACAGTATCTTTACAATAAAAATATATAAAAAAGATTGAAAAAGTTATCTGATTTGGGGAAGGGAAGAGGAATCACAGTGAGAAAAAGGGTGAACCAATGCAACACCTATCTCTATTTTTTTAGAATAGAATCGTACATTGCTTTAAATAGAGTCATACAATGTATACAAAGTCAGAAACCATTCAAAGTCACTCTGTTATACAAAGTCATACAACTTTAAATAAAATCATGCATTATAGAGTCACACATGGCTTAATGATAAAGATGCTTTCTGAGAAATACATCCTTGCTGAACTCCATGTTGTAAGAACATGATGAATACACTTCAAATGAACCCAAATGGCACAGTCTATTTCCTGTGCATTTACTACTGTACTAGGTTCAGCAGACAGCTGGAGCACAATGGTAAGCATCGGAGTAGCTAAACATACATAAACATTGAAAAGAGATAGTGAATCTACTGAATTAGAGGGACGTTTCAGCTCCACTATAATCTTATGGCCCATTATTGATCAAAATATCATTATTTAGCACATGATTATAATTACTTGAAAGGAAACAGACAAGACAAACCAGACTGGTATTTTAGAGTGTTGTATGGTACTCACTGGATTATCAATATAAAGCATGGAAAATGTGGTGGTCCAAGAGAAGTGTCTGGCACGAACTATGAAAATAAAGAAGGAGTTAGACTGATTTACAAGGAAACATTGAAGGTAAGGCTTTACTTGGTTCAGAGCCCAAGACACTCTCTGGCCTCTCAGGAAGAGGAATCACAGACCACATCTGAACATTACTTCCCTCTCCTCTATACCTCTCTCCTCCTCTCCCCTCCCTTCCCTGCTCTCTTTCTTTTCCTTTACTTTTTTTTCTACCCAGGAGCTTTCTACATCTAAGTGGAAGCCTGGAAAGCAAACCCCATGCAAATGGTTCATGACGAGCCAATGCAATCATGCCTACCTTTCCAGTTGATTAATCACTCCACCCGCCACCCAGGCCTCTTGCTCTCTTCTTCCCACCCAACATGGAAGAAAAGAACTTAAATAATATTGGCAGGAGTCACCAATGAGTTCACACTAGGAATTCTGACCCAGAGAAAATAAACGATCTCTTTTGAGAAAAATGATGGAGATGATTCTGGGTTTTAGTGAGATGTTGCTCTCTTCATTCCTTCCTCCACTTCACCCTCAACCATGCAGCTCTCTGCTAAACTATTTAAAGGACCTGAACCATAAAGTGTTCCATTTGTGTGAATAATCAGGGATACAATTCCCTCATGAGGTCCATGCACAAGGGCTCTCCCAACTAGTAATATAAATATCAACAATACTTAAGTTAGCAGCAGACTTTAAGAAAATAGCTTAGAACCTTTCACCCAAATTTCAAGGAAGAAAGTTAAGCCAGGCTAGAAACTCATTCGTGTAGCTCCTCTTTCTTGGATACACATTGCCAGAGGTTTGTGTTTTTATAATCTGGAACTCTTAAGCTATTCCCAATGGTTCAGAATTCACTCTGAATTAGTTTTGGAACCAGACAAAAGATCCAGGCAAAATACTCTGCACAGGAAGCACAGTCCAAACAACACTTACCGGTCATGTTCCTGGTGACAAGATAAGGTCCATGCTCCACAAAGAGTCCAAACATGGATGAACCTCCTGGGCCTCCCTGAAGCCAAAGCACAACTGGAGCATCATTTGGCTCTATCTAGAGGGAATAGAGGAACCAGTGATAATCAACGGTGTGCACTGATGACAGGTGTTACTGAGATCCTTGTGGCTGGGCTCCACCTTCCAACACAAGATGAGAAGGCCATGGGAGGAGGGGAGACTAACTCAGGTGGAGGCCATACCCAAGAACCTGGAAGACAAGCACCACAGGCAATGAGGGCCTAGGGTGCTGGTGGGCCCAGCGTGGTCTGGACAGCAGCCTTGCTGTGAGAGGCCAACGCTGGTGATCACTTCTAAGCACTAGAACATTTGATGACATAACTAAAGAATGTGGACCAACGGTTACTGTATCATAAAAGCACAATAAAGTGTGAATGACTATCACACATTTTAAGTATATTTGTAGAAATATTCTCAAATATGTGTCCTAGAAGTCTGGCATAAGTATGTTCGTGGTAATTTTGAAAAATAAACATTGGAAGCCAGGTACCAGGGGCTCACGCCTGTAATCCTAGCTACTCAGGAGGCTGAGATCTGAGAATTGCAGTTTGAAGCCAGACCAGGTAGGAAGTTCATGAGACTCTTATCTACTCAGAAAAAAACCCTAAGTGGCGATGTGGCTCAAGTGGGAGCGTGCTAGCCTTGAGCAAAAAGAAGCTCAGGGGCAGTGCCCAGTCCTAGAGTTCAAGCCTGAAGAGGGGGAAAAATTGGATCAGAAAGAATGACACTGCCCCATTTATTAGATGAGCAGAAAAGCTCAAAGCTATGTACATATGACAATATAAGATGATGCTAAGCGAGGGGCTGGGAAGGTGGCTCAGTAGTAGAGTGCTTGCCTTGCATGCATGAAGCCCTGGGTTCGATTTCTCAGCACCACATAAGCAAAAAGAAAAAAGCGGAAGTGGCACTGTGGCTCAAGTGGTATAGCGCTAGCCTTGAGCTGAAGAGCTGAGGGACAGCGCCCAGGCCCAGAGTTCAGGCCCCATGACCAGACCCCCCCCACAAAAAAAAGAGATGATACTAAGCGAAATGAACCCAAAGATATGGACATAAGAAATTTTCCTTTATTGTTGTTTTTAATGTACTGTGTGAGTTTTTGTTCCTTTTGTATGTTCTTCCTCCTATGGTATATCCCTGTTGTCACTGTATTTGATTTTGGTACCTTGCATCTTGTATGCACATTTATCTAAGTTGGGGAGGAGAAGGGGAATAAGAAAATGTTGAAACAAGGTCACTGGATGACCCATTACAACAATGAGACTCACAAGACATTATGTTGGAAATGAACATTACAACTTTGGGAGGTTGGGGGAGGTAGGGGAGGGAAGGGATAGTGGGAGAAAAACAAAGGAGGGTAACAATGCCCCACAAATACTCATTACCTTACTGATGTAATCTCTCTGTACAGCATCTTCACAAGAAAATAAAATTTAAAAAAAAAATCGAAACTACCCAAATGTTCATCAACATGATTACAAATAAATGAGTAAATAAATGCATGAATAGATAAATATTTCGTGTACACACCGCAGCAACAACAAGAAAAAGAAAGCAGGTAGAAACAGTAAGATCACAGGTCCACATACCAGGTCTTCCAATCAATGCTTGTAACTTCAAGCATTGGCAACAGCATCAGGAGTTGAGGGTTGAGCAGGACCTCACACACCATTTGAATTTAATCCTAAACTTTAGTGGCCCCAAGCTGGGTGAGTACATGCAGCTGCAGAAGCTCTCTGAGCCTCACTTCACTAAACTGTAAAATAAGGATCAATCATTGCTGCATACAATGACGGATGATGGGAGGATTAGGTGATTTACTTCTCATAAAGCCCAGCAATGGTTTGTGATACGTGTTCAGCAATGTTCACTGATACTGGAGTGAATAGATGCTAGAATTTACAGATGGCCTGAGTAGGGAATGGGAGTGTAGGGAAATGGGTTGTTTGGTGGGTTTTCCTTGCTTTTCAGTTCCCACGCTCCTCAGTCACTTCTTCACTATTCAGGTCTCCCGATTCACTGTTTAAGTAAATAAGTCACATGAACTAGTCATGTGATTGAGCAGGTCTTGCCTGATACATCAAAGTAAGAAACACTAAAGACAGTCTTTCAGAGCCGTTGGGCTCTGGACCTGGGATCCAGGCCTGCTGTTGCTCTGCTTGGTCACATAACCGTCATAACATCCGGGTCCTCTGTTTCTTCCAACTTAAGTTTCCTCAGCTGACAAATGGCTTCTGATCCCTACCACACAGCCTCTCTTAGACACTGTTTTAAAAGTGTGCATGAAATCATGCTACAACAAGAAGAACCAGTTCTATGTCAACCTGCCAGGAGCCCTGATGTGTGTTTTGTTTGAATATTCATGTAGTGTTTTCCTCTAGATCCTCTAGTGCTATTTAATGCCAAGTACCAGGACCACCTTCTATTTATATACACTCAGCCATGAGGCCAAATTCCAAATACTAGAAAGTAGAAAAACTATGGGTACCAGAAGGAAGTGACCCCTGTTCCTCTTACCTTCCAGCGAGGGTGAGATGCTGGAGTTCAATGGTTCCAAGGAACAGCCAGGCCCCCACTTGAACTTCTAGGGCCACCGTGAGCTGCGGTGAGTTAGTGATTTTCTAGTTCAGCTACTTATTAAAACAATGTGGAGAGCTTTTTGTCTTTTTGACAAATACTTCTGCATGGGCATAAACCCCAACGACTATAAATCCTATGGCTTGGAGTAGGAGCAGGAGCCCTCCACCTTTCTCAAAAGCTCCTAAGAGGTTCTCATGTGTCTGGAGGACTGAGAATCTGTGAGGTAGACAGATTGTGTTTACCCTTTAGGATGCCCATGGCCTCTGGTCTTCACCCACCTCCTTATTTTCCCCTAGCTTTCTATGTCCCTTCCTGTGACCTGACAGGAAGAAAGGAATCTTTGGGCTCTTGAGAAAAAAGAAAAAAAAAAAAACTAGTGGGAGAGGCCACATTACAAACATTCCCATGACAAACACCTTTCTTAGGCAATTGTAAAGCTTAGGACTCTGCATTCTTGGAATGCTGGAATAATAAGAGCACACATGCGCATGCCTCCAACCTCAGCTGACCTGGCTCCTTATCAGGTGCTTTTTCCTGAAGAAGGTGAATGAGTTTCATGGCCCTTGAGGCACCCTCATGTGCAAACATCCAAGTCCAGTACCAGATATGAAGATATATGTGATTAATGCTAGATACTCAGGAGTTCATGGATAACATGAAGACTTTCAATGTCAATATGACTTATGCCATCATGCCATGAGGTTGTGATAGTTGGTTCTAATTATGTCACAGTAATGATGTAACATTCTGGACAGTCTTCAAGGGCAATATACTGAGTCCTCAATTTTGATAATCCAGTGGACCCAGCCCTTACCTTACACATTTTGAACAAAAACACATAAATAGAGAATCTCGGGGTCCAGTGAGTGTTGCAAAACATTAATTGCATCCTAGCTATGATTCAAAGTGTATACAAACAAGCATAATCTGTGCATTAACTTTTTCAAGTTTAAATTTTTTCCTTAATTGTTTATTATCCACAGAGTAATTATTCTTAACTAAAGTTTTTTAATATATATTTTTAAATCCCCCCACTCTCAGTAATCTGACTCCTACAGATAGCCATAGAAATGTTCATTTTTCCAGATTTTTAATTACCTACTCTTTAAGTGATAGCCCATGGAGTACAAAGACAGACATTAAACAAGTAACTACATAGATGGGCTATGTAGGAAGGAGGGACACCACAGTTAATACCCAAGGAAGATATCTGATTACGAGGTAACATGGGAGCTGAGATCCGAGAAAATGAATAATACTACCAATAAACATTTATATTAAGAAAAAAACATATAATTAAAAAGAAAATTAACCTTTATTAATGATTGATAGGTCAGAGAACTACAACAAGAACTAATGATCAAAAATGAATGGATAAATAAATTCTAGATACTCCAGAAAGAGCAAAGGAATCTAAGTCTTTTACATGAGAAGTCTCTCTAATAACACAAGGGGAGGGCTCCCACTTCTCACAAATATAGGTCCTTCCTCAGTAAAAAAAAATCAACAAAAAAAAACCACCATGGTTTTGCCTCAGATACCCTTTCAATGCTTTGGGCGACCCCTGGTGGCAGATTCATGAACTGGGCCTCTCCTCCAATGACTTGTTCCAGCCTAGAGGGGGTAGGTAGGTTATCCACTGTTGGACTTTCTGCAGAGGTGAATTTCACTACTTCAAGATAGCAGGAAGATCTACTCTGTCTAAAATAGGGATCAACCATTGCTGCATACAATGGATGGATGATGGGAGGATTAGGTGATTTATGTCTCATAAAGCCCAGCAATGGTATGTGATATGTGTTCAGCAAATGTTCACTGATACTGGAGTAGATAGATGCTAGCAATTTATAGATGGCCTGAGTAGGAAGTAGGAGTGTAGGAAAATGGGTTGTTTGGTGGGTTTTCCTTCAGTCCTCATGCTCCTCAGTCACTTCTTCACCATCTAGGGATGGTCATTTGAAGTAAATGAAACTATATTAGTACTAATCTGTTCCACTGCTTTTCAGAGGGCAGACACTATCACTTCTGATAGTGACACAGCATTCTTCTCAAGCCATAAATGCATCACTGAAACAGTGAGTTAATATGATGAGGGTAGGGGCTAAAGACTTGTCTAATTCAGTACATTTATGGCATATGGTTGTTTTTTTTTAACCCAGAAGGTTTTATTTATTTATTTATTTATTGTCGGTCATGGGGCTTCAACTCTGGGCCTGAGCACTGCCCCTCAGCTCTTCAGCTCAAGGCTAGTGCTCTACCACTTGAGCTACAGCACCACTTCCGGTTTTCTGGTGGTTTATTGAAGATATGAGTTTCACGGACTTTCTTGCCCAGGCTGGCTTTGAACCATGATCCTCAGATCTCAGCCTCCTGAGTAGCTAGGATAACAGGTGTGAGCCACTGGTGCCCGGCTGACCGAGAAGGTTTTCTTGGGTGTCTCCAGAGAAATTCAGGTGTCTT